CGATCATGAGTATCAGGATTCCTATACAATACAATGATGACATCATTATTACATATACTAATTGTGTGTGGGTGTGCGTGAAAGCATGTGGTGGTTGTGTATGATTATAATAATCCACTCAGTTCACATTATTAGGATGTACACTCACTGCACTGTGTATAGTGCATTGGTATATAATGTCATTATTGGTGTTTGATATTTGTGCTTGTTTTGTGTAGTTAACTTTCATGTTACAGTATAATAAATACATACCAGCATTGCATCATTAGTTTATACATTGGTTTAGGACATCCTGGAGGAGGTGGTAATCTATAGCCTGAATCAACCAGTCTAATGGACTAAAATTAGTAAAATTAAATTAAATTCAAAAAGTATAATATTAATGCTATACTTCTTGATTAGTAGATTTTTCAAATGGTTTATGTCCTAAAGACCAAATCTCATACATTACAGCTCCATAACTCCACACATCACTAGCACTCGAATATTTCTTATAATGTAATGCCTATACATACACAATTCAATATTCTAATTATATAGTTTCTAATTACTTCTGGTGCTGTCCATTTTATTGGAATCTTTTTTGCTTGTGAAATATAATAAGATTCATCTTTTAGGTCCCTTGACATACCAAAGTCAGCAATCTGAGACCATACTATATAAAGTCCAGTTGTTAGTACTAATCTCTTACCTTGCATATTCCTGTTCCTTCATCTGATACTAATATATTTCTTGCTGCAAGATCTCTGTGAACAAACTTCTTCCTTGACAAGTACTCCATTCCTGAAGCAATTTGACGACAAAATGAGAGCAAAATTGAAGGAACTGATGATAATACTAACTCCCCAGGACTAAGAGAAGAGAGAGACAAGAGATATTAGTCCAACTATTGATATAAACTTACGATGGTTTAAATTTGTTAAGATACTCTTTCAAGTCACCTCCAGATATCAATTCCAGTACTATCATTATCTATGTACAACATTTTAATAATTATTAAAGAGTAAAATCATTAGTAATACTACTGCAGACTCACAGGATGTCCAATGGTGACCACTCCATGTAGTTTAACAACATTAGGATGATGAAACTGACCCATAATGGCTGCCTCTTGTAGAAACTTTACTCTCTCATCCTCTGAAGTATTATCATTAAGTGTTTTAATAGCAACAGAGACTGATCCAGCAGTAGGTGTAGTCCATAGTCCTTTATTAACTGTACCAAACTGTCCTGATCCTAAATAATCTGTTACTCTATTGAAGTGAGAATGTGTACATATTCATGAAACCATGCATGTTATTGCTTTTTCTGTTACTGCTATGAATTCTCCCTCTCTTTATGATCACACACACACACATGCTCTCTCTCTCTTACTTTATTTGGTGTCTTATAATTTCT